CAAATCGATGACGCCGTTTGCCCCTTGTCGTCTTGCGGGAATAGCAAAGTAGCCCAACCRCAGTACCGATATGTCTATGTATTGACCCGCGGAGCCGGAAATTCATCATGTATGCGCATTGGCACGCTGTCGCTGTGTTCGATGGCGATGGCGACGGCAATGATAGATCTATTTACAAAACGCATCTGGAACACAACGAAACCAACAGCAGCAATACTATAATATAATTGTGAGATAGCACAAATTCCATTTTTTTTAAAACGAAGCATTTTTCGAGATCGAAGCAACGAAGTTCGCTGGTTGCTGAAATCCTGCACTGGTATTCTTTCATTAGAATCGTTTGGCAGTCCCTGTCAATGGTCTACTAGTGATGCCAACAATAGGCATACAATTACTGGTGATAGTGCCGTTTCTAGCCAYCGATGTGAAGAAGTTCGACACATGATTTCCACGAAGAGCGAGCTTCATGGTGGATTAAGAGATGTTTCATTGATGCTTGTTGTGGTGACTCCACTTCCTTGCACAATTGCCAACACTGTCACCAATTGTGACGATGAAATAACATATGCGTTTAATGACTATTATAGTACTACTACCAAGAGACATTGCTTGCCTATGCTTGTTGGTTTAGATGACCAGAGACAGCTAGTAGTAGTAGTAGTAGTAGTAGTAGTAATGTTAGGGGTTCTACTATTGTTTAGGGGTGTTGTAATCTTGTTGCTCGGAATGCAACAAAGAATTACTATGAGTACTTGTTCTTTGTTCATTTATTGTACCAGCAGATTCTGAGAAGTATGTTCTTGGGCACTGCTACTAGCTACTAGTATTCTTGTTTCTATTTGTTGTTAGTAGGGCAGTGGTGATACAAATAGTAGTAGTAGTAGTACTAGAAAGGGATACTTTTCATTTCTTTTGGGTTCAGAAAGTTGCTTCTACTTCTGAAGTTCCAGCACTGTTAGTAGTAGTAGTAGTAGTAGTAGTAGTAGTAGTAGTAGTAGTAGTAGTAGTAGTAGTAGTAGT